GCTTTTATTTTTATTATTAGTTATTGTCATCTAAAATTATGAGAATAAATCAATTTTGATGGTGTAAAATTTTAACAAGATAATGTTAATGCTTTTCTAACAATAACCTTTCAGAGGATGGCAGGTGTGACATAAATAGATGATTAAATTGAAATCAAAAATATTATTGATTATCTAAGATGACAGAATAGTTTGATACATCACCATGGTCATCAAAATTAGCAAACCACTGCTGCTGTAAGGAATACATTGTTTTCTGTGTTAACTGGAATTTAAGACAATTTTTTTTCGTTTATCGCGTTTAACCGGTTAATTTCAGAACATTAATACTAATTTATATTTTTAAATGAATATATCACGTTTAACCAGTTAGTTTTACATCTACATGCTTATTATCTGTGAATTTTTACTACCACATGCTTAATATATTGTTTTGTCTGCTAACTTGAATTTACATGCACTAAAAATCACGTTAACAAAATATCACGTTTACGGCTCGGATCATCGTCGATGAACCGCGAGCTTGGCGAGTAAATATGCAACGATGCCAACGGGTTCTCTGCAGATGAAAACCCAAAACATCTTTATATTTGAAATATTCAAGCGGAGTAAATGGATAACATCTTGTGTTTTCGATACTGAGGTGTAAATTAACATTTTAAAGACGGGATGGCCATAGAGTCCTCTCTTTGAAAAGACGGGGTTGTCCACTTTAGTGGCCATGTCTTTTTACCCCATTTTCCAGGCTGAAAAGTGGGGTGAAATGTCAAATTTGACGTCCCTAGCGTTTTAACTACTTATCTCTTTCAAAGGTCTTCCTTTTGTGACATAGATGCACCCTTCTGAGAATCCATTGAACTACACACAAGAATCTTTGTTGCAAATAGGAGGTGATTTCCTAAAGGGGGGAAAGCATTCGGTTCAAGATTTCCCGTCCTTTGGTAGCTTTTACTGCTACCAAAGCTCCGGCCTCAAAAGGTTAAATGGTACAAACATATGGCACAAACTATAAAATCATCAATATCTGAAAATAGTTGCGCCATACAAATAATACAATGTTAAACTTTGTTGGTAATTCCTCAGAGTGCTCATATTATTAAAAATGCGCTGAGAAATATAAGTAATGAAACACAGTAGTTGGTCCATGACCATCCATGTAACAGTAAGGTATGTACATGAAGCTTCTTTTACATCATTTTTGGAAGCTTAAACATAAAAATCATGTTTAACAAAGCCATAATGCACTATATGTATAACAAAAGCCATGTTTGGATTAATATGTATATGAGTTAATGAGGGCTGGGTTTACGATTAAGCAAGTGCATAAGAATCAAGGATAGTGAGCACCACAAAACTTTTCATTGTTGGATTTATCATAGAAAGTAATACATAAACAATGATCGGTTATCCGAAAAAATGTATTATGTGGAGACACCAATATCTTTTAAGTGCTTAGGGCATCTCAAAGGCTTAATCCAGCACTGATGTTACTGTTTAAGAATGATTTTTAAAAAATATTTTAGAGTTAAAAAAATAATAAATATTAAATAATTCTTAGAAATTGATTTGGATGTTTTGTACAGAGAAATTTAAATGATTTTAGTTCATATTAAATAATTTAATCATTTTTAGTATATATAATCTATATATATAGAACTTAAATCTCGGATATGTGTTTGGAAGCATAGCAAGAAAAGATATGCCAAATAAAGCAAAGTTAGCAGTTTTGTATCTGATGCTGACATATTAAATGAGGGGATGTTAGGTACTGATCAATACCCACTGGTCAATTTGGGTAGAGTAGACTTTAAGGTACCCCTTGTATTATGGCGAAGTTGTTTGATTTATCGCCAAGTTGTTGTTTCATTTATGGTAGCCTGAGTAGTTGAATGTTATGGAAACCCTATTGTGACATAATTGGGTGCATGATTCTGGGAAATTTTGAATCATGGGATGTTTTGTAAACGTTTTTGTGGTGTGTGTTGGTTTGATTCTTTAGACGGTACAATGGCCGAATGTAGTAAGATTAATTTGAAGTTTCTGTATGATTTGGAGCGAAAGGGGAAAAGAGCTTTAAATGACTGGTAAAAGTATAGTTTAGGGTACCCCTTGGCGATTTTTGGCGGTACATACATACCGATTTTGTGCAATTCTTTCACTCGTTATTTTGCCTTGCGAAGCGGCGATTTTTCTGCCAAAAATCGCCGCTACACAAAGCCAAAATAATGAGACAAACAATTGCACAAACATGGTATCCATGTACACATCGACTTATTTTCACTTAAAAAAAAATCATCGAACGGCACAAAAATGGCATTGCGCACTCCTTTGACTTTATCCATGTACATGTCGACCTATTTTCACTTTTAAAAAAATCCCAGAATTGCACAAACTTGCATTGTGCACTCCCTTTACTTTGTCCATGTACACATAGATATATTTTCACTTAAAAAGTTAAAGAAGCACTCAATTCTACAATATAGGCAAACAAAAAATACATTTTAAACCAAACAATAAAATAACATAAAAAAGGAAAAACATGTTATGCATTTAAGCACTACCAAAAGCAAATATTCACTTACCATGATTTTCGAGTTCGCTTCGTACACCCAAAGCCACGGAGAAATCAAAATATCAATCATACTTAAATGACTTTTTTTCAAACCAGGTACTCTTTCTGATCGAATGCTTCCCATAGTGACCATCTGAACCTTTCTTTCTGCAAACCCATTTAAATCCATCTAAACAGATTTTACGTTCGACTAGATGCATATCCTTCCTACATACAGGGCACTTATAATGGCTACTAAATAAACCTGCCAGTCAATTAAAGCTCTTTTCCCCTTTCGCTCAAAATCGTACAGAAACTTCAAATTAATCTTACTACATTCGGCCATTCTACCGTCTAAAGAATCAAACCAACACACACCACAAAAACGCTTAAAAAACATTCCATGATTCAAAATTTCCCAGAATCATGCACCTGATTACGTCACAATAAGGTTTCCATAACATTCAACTACTCAGCTACCATAAATGAAAGAACAACTTGGCGATAAATCAAACAACAACCTCGCCATAATACAAGGGGTACCTTAACCCTTTGCGACACGCATATTTAAAATACATTTTAATCTTTAAAAAAATGCCTTAGAATAAGTCAGATGGACTTACTTAAGTGCATTTAAGGCTTGGAAAAAATTCTGCGCTTTTATTTATTACGGGAGAAGGTGGGATACCGTTTGTCCCACCATGCAACTAGCACATGTCTTAAAGCATATTGGTGTACAGCAGGGAAAAAAATCATATGTGGAATGAATAAACAAAACAAAGCGTGCATTCTAAAATATTCATAATAAACACACTAAAATGCATTTTGTACTTATTGTATATATGCATGACTTGTAAAATTTTGCATAATATTGTATTTAAGCTTATGTTTAATCACAGAAATTTTCTTAAACTGTAGTTTCTTACTGGTAAATCGTAGAATTTGCTATTAAAAACCTATTATTTTTTCAGATTTACCAAATTAAATGATTTTTTGGAGGTTTGACATATATTTTTATTTCCTTAATTCGTATTGTTAAAATAGTAACTGTAATTGCTTAACAGGACTAATTGGTTAAGTCCTTATTTATATAACATCATCATTTGTAAAACTTAAAAATATAAAAATTTTGCTTTTCTTGGGGAGGGGGCTCTCAGTATTGAAAAATATTAGTGTTAACTATTTTTAAGACATTTTTAGCAATACAATATACATATATATGTATTATTATGTCTTAATACAAATTGTATATTGATTTTGATAACCACATAAGATAAAAATTTAAAGGTCATGATAAGCATTAGAGGATTTGGTAAAAATATTTTTACGGGTACCCCTTGGCTATTTTTGGCGGTACCTAGATATTGAATTTGTGCAATTTTTTTTACTTGTTATTTTGGCTTGTCAAAAAAATTACTGCTACACAAAGCCAAAAAAGTTTATAAAGAATTGCACAAACTCAGTATCCATGTTTTGATGGAACTCGGTATCCTATTTTCACATAAAAAAAACGTGAAAGATTAGCACAAACTTGGCATTGTGCACTCCCTTGACTTTATCCATGTACACATCGACCTATTTTCACTTAAAAAAGCATCAGAGAATTGCACAAACTAAGCATTGCACAATATCTCGACTTTGTCCATGCACACATCGAACTATATTCACTTAAAAAGTCAAAGGAGCAGCCAACAAAGAAATATATAATCTCAATAAACTACATTTTAAATCAAAATAATCATTTTAGATTAATTTTATCTGAAATTTTTCTGAACTAGAATCTGTATATTGGCATCTCCACATAAATTCACAAAATAAGAATCAAGAATATCCTCTGTAGCACCGTTATCGTCCGACGTTCAACCATACGCATTTCCTTCCTACAAACAGGACACTTAATAAGGGCTACTTTGTAAACCTTCATTTACACACCAGTCAAGTAATTCGTTTCCTCTTTCTTTCCAAATCATACAGAAACTTTTAATTAATTTTATCATATTCAGCCATTTTACTGTCTAAACCACAAAATAAGCAATATACTTGCTAACCAACACACATCACAAGTTCTTACAAATTTACCACAATCATGCAACCGATTACATCATGATAGGGTTTCCATAACATTCAACTACTCAGGCTACCATAAATGAAACAATAACTTGATGATAAATGAAACAACAACTTTGCGATAATACAAGGGGTACTCTTCTCTCTTCTCTAACTGAGGATTTTGATATTCAACCTAATTTTAGGTGTTTATTAGGAAAAAAAAAAAAAAATCATGAAGAAATTCTTAAAAACATATACTATACTTTTCCATCCAGAGAATGTAGTAAGTTTACTAAGTGTGAGATCAAGTTTAGTTTGATAATTTATTGTCCTTGATTTTTATTATAGTATAAAATTCTCAAGCTTTTTGGTTCTAAAAATGTTCTTTCATTATGCACAGGTATTGCTAGTGTTTGCTAAAGATGATGCACAAAGCGATGCACTCAAGTGGGCTGCAGAAAAGCTCTCCTGTGAATGCACACTGGCATATGCTCCGGAAGCAGCTACTGAAGCGTATCAAAATATCCATCCTCATCTCGTTTTCATTGATTCAAGACAATCTAAAGCTTTCGATGCTGCATCCCTTTGCAGGTAGACAGTGATTGTCTCTCTCTCTCTTTTTTTTTTTTTTTTTTTTTTCTAGTACAAAATTTAATCCTCTGTAATCAGTTTTTTTCCTCTGCTTGAAAAAGTATGTAATGTGATAAGCATTACTCTTTAGGCAGGAATTAATAGTAGTTAGATTTTATTAAATTAACAAAAAGTTTTGTGATCCTAAATTCGTATTACATTAATAGAACTTTAACTGAATACATACTGCATTTTTAGGTAATATAAAAGTTTAAAAGAATTTACACTCATTGGTAAATATAAATGTACTGTATTGCATCCACCTTTATAAACTTTTATTTTACAACTTCCATCTTGAATTTTCTTTACAGAGTAGAGATTTCTAGGATGTTATTTCTTTTAAAGCATTTTTCTTCCTCTAAAAGAAATTTATAGAATTTTGATATTGATACTATCAGTATCAGTAGGATTTTTACTATCAACAGTAGTATATTATCAGAATAGTATGTTATAATATTGAGGTCACAACATTGGAAGTGAAATGTATGAAAAAATAGTTTGATTTATGAATTTTGATATCTCAAATGTTAATTGACTAGAGCTTTATATTAATTATTATAAGTCTTGGTGAAAGAAGAGAACAATCCCTCATTTTACTGCAATTAATAGAGCATTTAAAAAGACTGTATACAACTTTGCATGAGAAAAGAAATAACAACTGATGATTTTTTTTAATATTATTTTATTTCAAATATCGAGCAATCCTTGAACTTTTCATTCACTTTTAAGTTTAATCTTATTAACGTTAGCTTTTGATGCTCTTTTCCTCTATCATTATTGATCTGTATTAATATTATTTTCTAACGTGATGGACTAACATGAATTAACTTTTTCTTGTGATGATATTATAAGTTTTTGGCATTTAATTATATTCTACAATTGATAATTCCCCCATTATTAATTTAAATATCATGACAATATGGATTTTTCTCTGGTAAAGAAAATGAGCTAAAAATTTTTTTCCAAGAACTTGGAGGAAATTTATAAATTTGTATAATAAAAATCAATTTATTTATAATCACTGTTGAAGCATTTATTTATTCTTTTTAATTAAATATTTCTGCACCACATGTTTTTATTTGCAGAATTATTTTTATAAAATTTTTATTGAAAAGCATAGGAGATATCACTGCTATTCTTAACCATTCTGGAATGCTGCTGTAATGATGTCAAATTTCAGTGAACATAGAGGCTCATTTTGTGCATGGATGTCATTTATTTACAGACAAAGAAAATTATTTAATTTTCCTGGAGGTTGATTCTTGTTAGTGTTGTCCACAGATACAAGTTTTGTACCCATCTCCCTCGAGGTCTTTTCAGTACTTTCCCTGAAGAACACAGTTCCTTTTCTTTCAGAAAGAGGGAGAATATCAGTCCTTGCTTTAGGAGCATCTAATGAATTAACTATTTGAAATAGTTATGCAAGAGTTAATGGCTGATGATGTGATTCATAGTGTGTGGGGGGGGGATGCTTACACTGCTTATCAAGGTTGGTTGACAATAGGGGTATATACACTACATTTTTGAAAGTGCTTCACAAGGGGAAAAAAAAAATCTAAAGCTATAAACTCTGAAACCAAAACATGTAATATGCATTCGGGGCCATAAAAATTCAATGTTTAAACTGGTGATATGTGTTACTTCATTGTCAAAACCTTTGCATATTTCAGTGCAGAGACCATTTTCTCATCTTCTTCATGTCTTTCTAGGCATCTTTCGTTTCTGTAAGTTATACACCATGTTTTGAAATTTTCTATACTTTAAAATATTATCTACAGGTGCCTCTTGTTTTGTCATCTTTCATGGCTCTTTCAGTAACTTTGCCATTATAACAAAGCATGGAATGATATTATTATATTTTTTAGTACATAGAAATGAATAAATATTAGAGTATAATTTATTGTTTGATTCTATAATAATAGTTCGTGTTAATACAGTACTTAGTAGTACAATGCATTAAAAATGTAGTATGATATGCATATTGCAGGACGTCTGTTCCTTTCTGAGAAGACAACTCATCAGAATGATGACATGGAATTTAAAAAATAGTGAAATAATTTAATGTAGTGAGATATCAACGTCATAGCAGTATAATATATAAAAAATAAAATCTGAGTTTATAATGTGCATAAAAAATCTGATTAACCCTTTAACTGTCAAGTTATTTTGATGATTTGGGTGCCTAAATTGTCAATTTTTTTTATTACAACAAAGTTTGCCTCGCAGTCCAAAAAAAAAAAAAAAAAAGAAAAGAAAAGCGGTGCACTTTGAACTTTAACCTCTATCCTTCGAAACCTTCAGTAAAATCCTGCCATCTGTTGAATTGAAGCCGAAATAAACTTCTCACGATAAATATTTGGGTATAACAATACGATGCACTCAAAAAAAATTATCCTGAGTAATGTTCGGTCTTGACATTTTGGAATACCAATGCTGTGCCCGAGGTTATTTCGGGTATGACAGTTAAAAGGTTAATCCCTGAGTAACTGTCCAGTCCTTCTATAGAGTCATCAGTCTTCAACGACTGATTTTTCTCCATTCTCAGATGTCAAAAACAATTGTCGTTAAGAAAAAAAGGTAAAAAGGTAGCTCCCTGAAAATGACATGAACTGCAACAGATTAATGAAATTAAAAACGCAAGAAACATCCATAATAAAAATTTGAAGATTACATGAAAGAAATATCTGTAATGAAACACTGAAAATTACATAAAACAGCAACAAATCAATTAAATTAAAAATGCAAGAAGCATCCATAATAACACTTACCCTTCCCCACCCCCAACCTCCCACACACACTCTTCTCATATGCATGCGTCAACCTCTTTTAACTTCAAAAAGCTGAGAGAGATTTTTTAGATTCAGAAAAAGTTACTATCGTAATCGCATAAGAAAGTTTATAAGTAGCAGCCACAAAGATGACCATCGAATTTCAGAAGCTAAATTCTGCACTGGAATAAAGCTCATACAACCATTCATGGGTTGCCAGATAAATATACTTTTGTAGAATTCTGAGCTGTATGCTTTATCAGCATAGCATACTGCTTGGTGATTCTTAGGGTTAGGTAGTTAATCAAGAGTATCAAAATTGTCATATGGGCTTACTTTTGTACTTTTTTTATGGAAGTGGGGAGGGGGTGTAAGGGAAATTAGCTATTTGTAAGGATGGTCAGTTAATATACACTTTAAAATGTGAATTCTAATAAAGAGGAGAAAATCATTTTTAAAATATGAATGTCTTTTAATTACAGAAAGCTGAATAATATAGGTACAATTCCACCTCTATAGATGTCTGTATACATACTTCCTAATAATATTTTCTGTCAAATGAATATTGTATCATAAAAGTTCTATTTAAAAAAAGTGGTACAAACTTTTACACATTATTTATTCAGTATTAACTGAGTACAGAATTAGTATACTTTTTAATAACTAAATTCAAAATATAAAGAGAAGAGAAACGCTAATGTACTTATTTGACACACTTGGGTAATCTTTATGTAGAATGTTGGCTAAAATTAAAGCTTGTTTTTAATTATTTATTTATTTTTAGATCTATTCGTAACATTCAAGGGAGTCAATACAGTTGTCTCATAGCAGTTATCAAAAAAAGGTACTTATCTATTCGTGAATTCCATGCAGTTTCACCTTGATGAAATTTATTAAAATTATGATACATGTAGTTAAAGCATCTACACTAGTCATGAAAATTAAAGGATAATGATAGAAATAAACCATAACTGATACTTAATAAAAACTTATTAATAGAAATTTGTATGAAAGCATTAGTTAACATAAATACAATGTCTGGCAGTTGATTATAGCAAAATATTGGAACTAAAATCAAATTAATGGAAATTGGAAAAACTAAGTCACCTCCTGTGGAAAACCTTTTTTTCTTTAATATGGTGTATGATTACCTCAGACAGCTATGCATTCCTCACATCTTGGTTTAATAGACTTTACCAAAGTGTAAATTCTTGGAAAACAGTGATCAAGCTTTGTGGGATTGCACGCCACTCTTCTAAAAGTGCATCTTTCAGCTGCTGGAGTGTCCAAAGAGGAATTTGGCATGTTGAAATTTGGTTCCTAAGGCATCCCATGCATGCTCATTTGGCTTCGAGTGAGTATGCTGACCAATCCATTCTAGTGATAGCTTCTGTTTGCAAGTATTCTGACACCATATATGCTCGATGAAGCTGAACATTGTCATCCATTAGCAAAACCTCTGGGCCAATAGCACTCCTAAACAGTGTAACTTAGGGCTGCAACACCTCTTCCACATATCTCGAAGTGATAACAGAACCTCCTTGAAAGATATGCAGCTTGGTGCAGCCATTTGTCATGATTCCTTCCGAAACCATTAAATCATGCTTATGGAAGCAGGATATTTCATGGACAAAGGAAGACAAGTTGCATATTCCTTCCTCTCTCCAGATCAAAACACCTCTAGAATCATTGTTTAGACTATATCTGGATTCATTAATAAACAATACTTGGCTTCATTGAACTTGTCTCATTGAACATGATGAAGTCATCTTGGCTTCATTGAACATGATGGCAGCACCAGTTTAAATGGGCCCCTCTGGAAGCTGGAGTGAGTGGAACACAAACCATTGGCTTTCTCGCATACAGTCCAACCTTATTAATCCTTCGTGCAGCAGTAGAATGGCTAATTCAAGTCCCTATGGCAAATCTATTGTAGTCGCCTCATGGTTTCTTCAATCCAACAACGACAGAAAACGTTCTTCTGATGCAGTTATTGCTCTTGGTCACCCTTGACCAGGCTTGATCCAGTGCTTAAAAAGTGGTTCCAAACTCTTGATATGACACTTTGAGGGATATTCAAATCTTGGGCAACCTCCATTTGTGTTTGACCTCTGTCAATTCTTTCACTTATTTGCCACTTTTGACCTTTACTTAAAGGATGCCTTTGATCTAATGAATACTGTCACTGTCAGAAACCACATTCACTTCAAACAACACTATAAATCAGAATTCCAACATGCATCCTTTGTGCACCACATTGTCAAGTGCCATATTTGCATATTTCCGGCACTTCCACATGCACGGAAGTGCAATTTTATGTTCAATTTTATTTAATTAACATAAATAATTACAGCAGTGAGCATTGGTTACAACATTAATTTACTGAGCATATATTTTTTCTTATTATCCTTTAATTTTGATGACCAGTGTATATTTTGGTAATGTTTTTATCCCTTTTTAATGTTTTGCTGTATGAGATCGATATCCTGTCGATTTTGTTTCATCATAATTTGATTAAGAATAGCTTATTTAAATTATTTACTAATTAAGTTAATATTTTTCATAGTGCTGTTGACAAAGAGGATGGTTCATTAGCATCTCATCTTCAGTCTGGTTTTTCAAGGGTATGAATTGTATTTCTTTTGTTCTTTGATGAGAACTACAAATAATACTTTCTTTAAAATCAGATAAAAAAAGTAACATTGATTGGCATAGGTTTTGATTAAAACTGTTGATTTCAAAAGCAATCAGACCTAATACTCTTTTCTTCAGAAGCAAAAAATTTTCACACTTTATATTAATTTAAAGTTTAGTTTTTTGCCTGAGTTTAAATTTTATTTTGACATTCCCTCGTGTTAAATATTGCTTTATTGTTAAAAATGTTTATTTGTATTCTTTTACAATTATTTTATTGTTGAACTTGTATAAATCAAAGGTTTCAAGCCTTTAAAATTTAGGAAAACTTAAATTAGATTTAAAGAATTTTAGAGTAGTTGAAGGTTTACTGTAATTTTGTTGAGTATGATTATACTGTATTTTACTGGCTGGCATAAATGGTTGCATGTTAGTATTAAAGATGAGTTTAATTTGGCATTAATTTTATTCAGAAAGGTGCTGCATATTTCTAGAAGCAAACTGATGCCTTTTTATTCATTATGAGCTGTTATTCTACACGTGCTTTCTAGTTCAATTACCTTCAAATACAAAAGTTGTTCTAGAAGTAATCTCTGTTAGTTTTCTTAATAATGAAAGATATGCACAATCATAAAGCATATAATTCAAGGAGCAGATGACTTTCAGAAACTAATTGACTTGTATAGTACAGTGGGTACCACTTAATATAAACATATCCATTCCAACCTTATTTGATTTTATAAAGCAGTTGAGTTGCAATGCTGTGCTGGGCCACGCTCAGGATTTCATTTCCATAGGGAATACAAGGCTGAATATTTTTTGGAGGGGGTATAAAAATAAAACTTTTAAAAATAGATTTATTGTATATAAGATTGCAATAAATTTTTATGAATGAAAAGTGCACATTTCTGAACCTCTCTCTGCTTGCTTAGGGCTGTGCTATTGAAATTCATGCTCCTTTTCAATATACTGTTTAATACGGATGTTACATATACTTCTTTTTAACAAAATTTTCATTATTTTTTTCCATTGTTGATAAAAGTCATTTTAATTAAAATAAATTGTAATTATTTTAACATGTTGCACAGATTAATACAATATGTATATTAATCATTATTTAAAAATTTATCCATTCAAGTTTTTTACATATTTCTTGTTACTAGCTTTTCAGTGATGGTCTCGAAGCCACAACATTACTTCTAACTTTCTGTGTCTCCACCTTTAAATTTGAGCATTCTTCTCAAAATTTGTAATGCTTGTTGAACAGGATCGGGATTTTCATCTTCAGACTCACTTTCATTTTCACTAACTTCTTTGTTTTCTCTTATAACTTCGATAATCCCTGCATAACTCTTTTTGTAGCAAGTCTGGGTATTTTCTTTGATTCCCAAATATTCCAAGATGGTCTCATAATGCATTTCTTCATTGTCATCCTTGCTTTTGGTACATATTGAGAGTTTCCAGAAATTTGCTTTGGATTGAATCCACCTTTTTTAAAACAATTTGAAATTGTTTGCAAAGTTACTTTATCCCTTTGTTTGTTTGCAAAGTTTTACTTTTAAAATAACATGCATGGCATCTAAGCGAGAAATTGATCTATTTGGCTTAGAAGAATAAACTACATATCATACTACACAACAGTTTCTTAGAAGAATAAACTACATATCATACTATACAGCTACAGTCATATCAATTTCATTAATAACATTTTGAACTATTTCCTTCCTGTAATGATTCTTGAATGCTTTTATAATGCCCTGATCTAATGGCTGAAGAATGGAAGTTGTATTAGGAGGAAGAAAAACTAATTTTATATTCTTCAGCGAGAGATCAGTTGGATAGTCAGTGCTGTTGTCTCTCAAAAGTGCCACTTTTCTTGCTGAAGTTATTTATCCCACTTTGTAAGAAAAATCACAAACAATATTGCTTGTCATCCAATCATTTTTATTGTTCCAGTAAGTCATAGGCAAATGCTTGACACCATTCAGACAATGAGGGTTTTTGCTTGCACCAATGACTAATGGAGTCTTTTTAACTGTTCCATCCATATTACATGTTAATAACATAGTAACATGGTCTTTCATTTTTTATTCATTTCACACATTTTCGTTGTTTTATTTCTTTGGCAGTCTATTGGACAGTGATGATTGTTATGCAAAAGTCAAATTGGTACTGTTCTGTTATTGGGACTGGATTCATAAATGTGTGTATGTATGTATGTACAGTCAAAAGTCGTTAATTCGGACACCTATAATCCAGAATGATCTATAATCCGGACCTCAAAGCTAAAAACTTTCTGCGCATGCGCCGTGTTGACACATGCGCATAGGCATTTACGCGTGTGCGTAAGACCTCTTACGACTGCGCATTTGCGTGTGCGCAAGCGCAGAATACGTTTTCGCGCGCGTTTTAATGTATAACGGACGGTATAAGCTAAAATTATCTAATTATCTATTTCAGTTAATGTTGATGATTGCGTTGTTCCTTAATCTTCGAATTGGATCCCGCTTATTTTTTTTGCAGACTGTAAGAGCAATTTTATAAAAGTAAACTTGAACTTTCGATTATGTCAAATATAATTTCCGATGCTGGAGCTCCCAAAGGATCTACAAAACGAAAGTATGTTTCGATGTTCCATCAAACAAAAAGTGGAATTGCTGCAAAAAATGGATAAAGACATGAAGAATGTGACAGAGAGGTTAGTGAAAACGAAAAAATTTCCATTGACCAAGTTAGTCGGTATTCTCGGCACAGCAATTAACGGGACTTGAACAGCAGGAACTTTTTAACTGAACAAAAAATTATGTCTGTTTATAGAATTAAAGAGAAAGTATTATCACATAAAATGAAGCAACTTAAACAACTTACATTGAAAGAAATGTTTAATAAAGTAAACAAATAAATATTAAGCTTTTTTTTTGTAAATTTTGATACCCTTTAGATCATAATTGTTCTTTATTTCATAAATTACGGTTTTCATATTTTAATTTTAGAATTTCTGCATGCCATCTTATGCGATTTAAACTGATGATCTATAATCCGGAATCGCCGAAGTCCCGACGAGTCCGGATTAACGACTTTTGACTGTATGTGTATAGGTATACACACACACACATGCATTCTTAAGTACTTATATAGTACATGCATACATAAACACATACTCCATACATACATGCTTACATATGTACATATCTGAATTTGGTCCTGATAACAGAACAGTACTGTCAAATCATCTATTGTTTTAATTTCTGTGAGTGATTACTTTGTAAATAAAATTAGTATTGATGAAAGTAAATTCTCTTTTTGCAGAAAATATATTTATCAGGTGTGTTATTCTTGTGGTGGCATGTAATTTCCAAAATAAAATATATATGTTGATAAAATCTTGTAGAAGATAAATATTTCTAGTAATCCAACATTCAGGAAACCCAAGTTTTTTGCAATTTTTTAAATATCTTATTGATTTGGCATATGTTCAGTATTAGTTTTCATAATAAATATCTAATATTGTCTTTTGAAATTTTCTGCTAAATTCATCAGACAGTGCGTGACATTATAATTGAAGGATAAAAGCATTTAACTGTGATTTTGTGAGATTTTTAGCTAAATAAGAAATTGCCACCAAAAAAAAAAAAAATTTTTTTTTTTAAATTTATTGTAAGTTTCAATTAACTCTGAAAGCCATAATGCCTCAGATGGCTGTTCATTCAAATGACCACAACCACCCTAAACGGACAAAATTAGGATATTTGTTTCTTCCCTCCCACTAAGTAGTACGTGCATATTCCCCAAATGCATTGCATCAGTTTATTGCAAACAGTTTGTCCTAAAAGAATTTATTTGTAGTTTCTTATCTTTTATTTTTTATGAAGTAGAAAGGATGTCATTTACCTCTTTGTGCATAATGGATGGGGAGGGGAGGAAACTGCTGTGAATCCTCAAAATGCATTTCAGGCGCTTCTGTATTTCAAGAATACAGTTAGCAAAGGCTTTGATTTTCAAAGAGTTAAGTTAACTATTTTATTTCCAGGCATTACAGAATTTTATAACCTTTCATTCTCAAACAACTAAAATTTGTTTCTTGTCTCTTAATGGATTTCATCTTCACGCATGCAAGTCAGAATTCATACAGTACTTAAAAGTTCTTGAGTTTTTTTAAAATGATTTTTGTTCCTTAAAAGTCCTTAATTTCAACCCAAATCAGCAAATCACATTTTAGAAGAATGTGTGTATTTTAAGAGTCTTCGTTTAAAACATTTAAATAGCTGTGAAATATCTCTTGACCATTCAATTGAAAAAGGTCACTTTCAATTTATTTCAGTATCTGAGCGAAACTGGCTTTTTAATTTGATTAGTTTTTAATTGCTTAATTAGTTTGAATATGTGTTTAATGTATGCACGTCTTATGTATATTAAGATTTTACCTGGTTTTAAATTTAAATTTATCCTCTTGATTTGCTGTTACCCCTTTTTTAAATTAGTGTAATATGACCTTGTGTTTGGCACAATATAACATTTTAGGTTATGCACCATGAATCATATCGTCCATCCATCAAAGTTTGCTGCAATCAACACAGTTTATCTAAAAGTGTTATTCCACATAGAATCTGAAGTTATTTGTTTTATAATGCAAATAGTTTATATATTCAATATGCACTTTTGCAGTCCCGAATCCTTAATTTGATCCCATTCTGAAGATTTTTGTAATTTTCTTTCAAATTATTGAATATATGGCTTACTAGATGTATGTAGCATCTATTTGGGTGGTAGAAGTTAAATCTATGGTGTTTCTTAATATAGTATGACAGATTTTAATTATATTCACATATACACAGTCTTCACAATATCATAAATATAAAAATTCACTTTTTACAATAAAATCGCTGTCATCTTGCATGCAATACATTGTCTTTTTGTTAGTGTCTTTATGATTGTCATCATTATTAGCACTATCAGCAATGTTGTCATCATCTGAAATATAATACACAATCAACCAATTCATATAACAAAATGGAACAACTTTTCACTGGCTCTTTTATTATTCAAGTTTTTAAAATATAGGTAATGTACTCATTTTTACTTCCTTGTACAAAGTAAAAGAATTATTGTAATCTTAAAAAAAATTGGGCATCATATTTCAAAGAAAATATCCATTTTGTCCACTCTTGAGTCCATTTGAATGATGATTTTTGCGTGGCAACTATTCATGTGGACAGAATAAAGGACAGTTTTTTCCAAAACAGATTGTAAAATGGATTCAGAAGACATACTTTTTCATGATGTCTATGTGTTCATACGTACATATCTCATGTAATTCAAAAACAAGTAGCTGTAGAACTTTGAAATTTTGTATTTGAGACTGCTGTAACATCTAGTTGTGCACGTCCCTTTATCGTTGCAATTGGCTGCACCAAATACACACACACTCATATATATATATTCCCACTCTGTTACCTGACTCAGTTTTTTTACTGCTATAAGTTGGCAAACTGAGTTTTTTTTTTTTTTTCTATAAAAGTGATTGAATTATGTTGTTCTTATATTAGTTAAACTTTTTATTCCTTTAGTTAATATGCATGCAATAGTTGTAGAGTTATCAGGAATTTAAAAGTTTAAGTAACGCTAACGAGGCCAATGTTTACATTTGAAACTCTCAGTAGAGTAGTGAATTAGTCAGTTGCTGCAGCAAACTCAGTATCTTTTTGCCCAATGGAACCAAAAGTTAACTTTCAGTTTTGTGCGCCGAAAATTCCGTCTTCCTGACCACTGGCCAAATTACTTGTTTTTGCATAGTAAACTCTAACTGTAAAAATTTTTTTTTTTTTTTTTAAGCTGTTTTTAAGGTCTAGGTTTTTCTGTATTTTACAATTTTTAATGAAGACGTTTTCAGTTTTTATGTATTTTCGCCTTTCTACAAAGCAAGAACTGAATTGATTGAATGAAAAACATATTTCTAATGAAATTCGAGGAAATAAGTTTAAATGGAGTGCAGCAAAAAGTGTGTATAATTTAATTGGCCATACGGGGAAGTCATAGGTGGTATCCACATCAGATATTTTTTTAGAATTCTGCGTTCTTGTAGGTGCCAATTTCAAGCAGTCATACTTTAAAAAAAAGTAGTTTTGCTGTTTTATTATGGCTAAATGTTTTATTATTTCCAAAATTGTCTACCCTAGTGATAATTTTTCTGCAAAAAATGCAACTTCTTTTATTCTTATTTTCTCTGATCTTTTACTTAAAGTCCAACTGACATTGTTAGAAAGAACATGTTACCAGGTGCAGCCCAGCACCATCTGGCATTCGATGGTGCCAGCACATGTGATTGGATAAGAAAAGCGTGTGAAAAATTTCTTATTGCATTAGTCATTTATCTGAAAATTTTACTTTATTTTCTTCAGGTAATACTAGATATGTATTATAAATATGCAGATAAATTCTTCTAATAGAGCCTAAAATACCTAAAATATTGTTCAGCCATTAATATTTTAAATATTAGAAAGTCAATATTATATGTGAAATAATCACATATAATATTGACTGTATTGTGTAAAGTGAAAACATAGAAAGCATTTTGTTTGTGTAACTTGTGTTTGAATGCAGTGTTCTAGACAATGTATGTCATGTCGTAATTTATAATTATTATCTGTAAATGTTACTTAGTTTATGAAGCTTTATATGTTTAGCTGTCATTGTTGTAAATATATCTTATTAATAAAATATCAAGACTTTATTTTAAGAAAAAAAATTGAATCAAAATAATTGAAACATTTGATTCTTTCTGATTATCCACACTCCTGTGAAGAATATTCATAAAGCCAGACACTATGTTGCCAAAATAGGCAACCCATGATACTGTCGAAATTATTTGTATGGCAACCTAGATTATATGCATATGCATGAAACAGATGATTGCAGATTTACATCTTCAAATTTGACAGTAACTTTTCTGATTAGTATTTGTTTTGCACTAAGTGGTTTTTTTTTTTTTTTTTTTTTTTTTTTTTTTTTTTTTTTTGTCTTTTCTGTTAGTTTTCTGTGAAAAGAAATGTTATCCTTCAAAGTAGGATTTTTATCTCTTGATTAAGTACTGTTTTGCTCAACAGAGAGAATTCAAAAGTTCACACTCCATAAAATTGTATTTTTTAAATAATGTAATTTTATAGATCAAAATTTGGGCACGTTGCCAAATTTGTGCAATCTCTGTTTTTTTTTTTTTTTTTAAGAGGATTTTGGATGATTTATATTATGGATGTTTCGTGCTTTTTTATTTTTATTGTTTCATTGATCGTTTATAGAATTCTTAGGGCTTCTCCATTTTCAAAACAGCTGTTGCCATTTGCATAATAACCTTTCAAATAGTTAGTCACTAAGGAGTGGCTGACGTTTTGGAGAGGGGTGCAGATAATCACAAATTAATGGAAATTTATTACTATGCAAAACTTTATAACATAATGTACAAATATGTTTTTTCTTTATTTTTGTACTGTAAACTCCTTCTGAGATAACCATTCATGATTCCATACAATTTTGATGTTTTGTGAAAATGGTCATCATAAAGAAGCTGCCAATCAGTGATGACATTTGTTAATCTGAATAATGAATTTGTTCTGTTCCAGACTTTTTAGTGTTAGCAAAAATACTGAAGTAGAAATGTGGTTCTTTATACTAGATTTTATAAAATACTCTAAATAAATAATCTTTTAAAATATGAAGTATGTGTCTTTCACAAAATACAAAAAGAAGATTAAAAGGTACTTTTCCGTTTCGCCGACGCAAATCTCGCCAAGCAGACTTTATTGGCGACAACATACCGTATACACATAAAAAATATTTAAAAAAATTTAGTTCTAAGAATTCTTTAATTTTCTTCATAAACATTTTAATATCGCTTAAATCTTTATAAAAAGCCAATAAATAAAGACAATAAATTTGTAAAAAGACATTAATTTAAGAATTTACTATGCTTTCAAGGTTCAACATCCTAATTCGCAGGTTTATATCACGTGACCCCAAGCAGGCTCATCTCACGTAAACTACTCTACAAAAATCTAATGCTCTCGGTAATTATCTACATTAATTTCAAGTTAAATCTTAATTTGGAACACAAGTTTAAATGCAAGAAATATTTCAATGCGTACGAATAGCTTACGAACGAATGCGTAAATACGTAATACGTAAATGCGTACGAAGAAATTATGTAAAACTGCAGTGCTTTACTTCACTAATGTATCCTTATTAGAATTGATGAATTTAACCCTTGACTTTACCTTTTCTATATTTTCGGCTTCGGGTAACAGCTGTGATTGCATCCTAATTGACTTAATTACCGAAAATGGCCTTAGACATAAAACTGAACTATCTGATAAAAATTCTATGTAATTATAGTATGCCAGTATTGACAGAAACAATCAATCTGATAAGAAAAAGCTGCGACTTGTTTTGAAAATGTGGCCTAAAAGGTTACCAGCGAGAATATTCCGTTTGGCATCGGTTGTACCATTATTGGCGACTTTATCGCTTGCGCCGGCAAAACGGAAAAGTACCGATTAAAAAATATAAAACAAAAAGAAATTCAAGTAAAATTTTATAGTGTAAATTATTTTAATGATTTCAAAAACACTCTGTAGTTGCTAAAATGCTCATCCTATGAAATTTGTCAGTTCTGTTGAGACAGAGGACAAATGGTACTTACAGTAAGTTTTAGTTGTCTTTTTTTCAAGTTAAGCGTTCATTTTTAGATTTTTTAACATTATCGCTTTTATTGTAATCTTATTAAGATTTACAATTTTGTTTTAAGACATTCAGAGATATATTGGACTGTCAATTTTAGAATCATTGTGACAATTGCAATAACTTCAAAAGCAAAAATGAATGTCAATTCAACATTGATTAATTATACTGAATCAGCTGCTCGGGTAGAAGAAGAAGTTAAACAATGTAGAAATCTAATAAGACCATTAGATAAAGTTATTTGACATTCTGAAGCAAATATGTAAGACAAATTTCACGATGCTGATAGTCCTTTTTTGCTTTAGTATATTCAGTTAAACAAACAAGTAAACAAATCAATGAATCGATTAACTGTTTTATTCCATAGAAATAATTTTACTGCTAATGTAAGAACAGAAAATGTTACCTTGGAGTTTTGCACATTTTAGTTTGATAATGAAATTACACAATTTCATGGTAACTGTGTTACATATTTGATGGCCTTGGTCAGGTTAAAGAGCAGCATTGTAGAGAATGCTTTTGCAGTTATGAGTGCTTGTTCATTTATGTTCTCAGAAGGTCTGATCATTTTCAGAGCTGGCATCTTTTGATAGGTGGTCATTGGGAGAGGATTCGTTGTTTAATTTGACAGTTTTTAAATCAGTCGAAATGTGTAAACTGATTTTGTTTTAAATTTGTAATTTTATAAAGTATTTCCAAATATCTTACATATTTTCTCAGTAAAAAAATACATTTTTTAGTGGTTTGTGGAAACTCATAATCTTGGCAACTGTTTAAATGAGCTCATTCAACTTCATCATACTGACGTTTCCTACCTACTTAAACTTCGGGCTGCTCAGGCTCTTTTCACTGCCCTTGACAGCTGTAGAGATGGCATTATAGTTACTGGTCTGGACCATAATATTCAAGTAGGTTTTTTTTTTCTGCATTTTGAATTAATGTCTATATTTAAATAATTTAGTTATGTTTTAAGAATTGATACATGAATTTTTTCTGAAATATACAGCAATTATGTGTCTTAGGGAATTTTCTAAGAGCATGTACTGAATCTTTGTGCAAATTTCTGGATTTGCTTGTTAAATGTTTTTGACAAAGGCTAAAATTTTATTAAAATGGTGTTATTTTTATACTATAAGAAAACAAAATTCAAAGTAGCATAATCAAAGTACAGTAAAAGCCGGACTATCCAGCATTCAACTAACTGATAAACCTGAATATTTTAGAAATTCCTCCCACCCCTCTGAAAATATAAGCAAATGTGAAACTTGCAAAGCCACTGTAGAACATGTATAAGGCATCATCGCCAGTTTTATTTATCACCTATAATAGATAAGTGTAATGTCACAAAACAGTCACAAAATGTTCACTTGGTTTTGTTTTATTTATTTATTTTTGGTGTGTGTAAACTTGTTTTTAATAAGCTAGCTTTGTTTCTGTAAAGAATTATATTAGTAAGTTGCTATTTACATATTTTCCGTCATATTTTGAAAATCATGTAGTAGAGAATTTTCAAAATTACAAGACCCCAGCATCAAGAATGTGATTTTATTTGAAAATAGATAAAGAATGGTGATACAAAGTGGAGAATTAATGACAGACATGATATGTTTTTTATATGCCATGTCCATAAGTTTTGTAGCTTGATTATCTTAAGAACAATCTATTCCTTTGAACTTCTGAAGGAATTATTGGTAGCATCTCTGCCATATTTTGTGGTCCAGTGTGATTTCATAATTGGAGAAGATATTTTAACTTTCATATAATTAAGATCTATGAAATACAGGGTGTTTCTAAATGAATATTGTGATTTTAAGGCTTTATAGTAGTTATTACGTAAAACTTAAATCATAATTAATACACGAAACAGAAGACCAACTCAAACAGTTTTGTTTGTTGGTATTTGCATGCACCAGAAAGTGCTAGTAGCAAAAATTGTGACCATCAGAGATCGAATCTGTAGTTACTGTGCAACGTGCGTTCTGGATCAAGTTCATATATGATCCCTGAAGTGATAATAACATCCATAGATGGTATCAAATTGAAAATACCGGCTGCCTTTGCAAAGGGAAGAGTATGGGACAACCAAGGGTGAGTGAAGAGAGTTGTTGGGCGAGTGAGAGAGTCTTTCACTAATAGCCCAAAGAAATCAGTTTGGAAGGCTATTCATGATTTAGCAGTTCCAGTGACAACTGTCTGAAAAGTTCAAGAGAAACACTTACAAGTACGACCTTATTGTTTTCAGTTAGTACAGACTCTAAAGCCTACAGACCATGGTTTACATGCCTACTTTGCACATGAAATGATGCCATGTCATTTCTACCTGTGGGGATTCATAAAGGATTGTGCATATGTGCCTCCACTACCAGCTGATCTACTCAATCTAAGAAAGAGAAATGTATGAGGCAGCTGTTGCAACAATGTATCAGGCAGCTGTTGCAACAATTACATAACAAACACTAATCAACATTTAGGAAAAACTGAGCTATTGACATGATGTGTGCTATGTGATGAAAGGTGCTCACATTGAACACTTATAAGTTTATAGGTATAACTGTGAATTGCTCTTTCTCTTCATGTACTAATTATAATTTTAAGTTTATCTAATACTACAAAGCATTACCCCAATATTCATTTAGAAACACCCTGTACATTGGCTTTTTATGGCCAAAATGCATCCCTCCCAATCTTACATAATTTTAAATACAGTCAAAAGTTTTTAATTTAATTTTTAATTTTTTAATCAGTTTAAATCTGGTAAGATGGCATGCAGAAATTCTAAAATTAAAAATATGAAACATAATTTATGAAATAAAGTATAATTATGATCTAAAGGGTATCAAAATTTACAAAAAAAAAAAGCTTAATATTTATTTGTTTACTTTATTAAACATTTCTTTCAATGTAAGTTGTTTAAATTGCTTCATTTTATGTGATAATACTTTCTCTGTAATTCAATAAACAGACATAATTTCTTGTTCATTTGCAAAGTTCCGCTGTTCAAGTCCTATAATTGCTGTGCCCTAAATACTGACTAATTTATCAATCGAAATTTTTTCGTTTTCAATAACCTCTGTAGTAACTTTCTTCACTATCGGAAGTGAATTATAATGACGAGGTATTTGATTTAAATCATATCAAAGACGGAGTACATCGAGATGAAATACTACATTTAGTAAGGAATTAAAAGCCAAATAAAATAAAATGTTTGCCCTGAAGATAAGGATAGTGCTGACAGATCAACTTCCAGTTCATTGCGCGCCGCGACCCCACCCCCACCCCGCAGAGCAGCGTGAAATTTATAAACAGATTTCGGAATGGTTAGAGAACCAAAGGATATCCATTTTTTGCAGCAATTCCACTTTTTGTTTGATGGACATCGAAACATACTTTCGCTTTGTAGATCCTTTGCCAGCTCCAGCATCGGAAATTATATTTGACATAATCGAAAGTTCAAGATTACACGCATGCGTAAACGCCTATGCACATGCATTAACGCGTTATGCGTTGACGCATGGGCAGAAATTGTAGCTTTGAGGTCTGGATTAACAACTTTTGACTGTATAGGCTTTTTTTATATTCAACTTGATAGCAAATAAGATGAATTCTTATAATTTTAGGCTAAAAATTTCTTTTTCTAGTTATTTGCTTTTCCACCATGAATTCTACTTTTTATACACTTAACTATCTGGAATTCTCACTTATCTGGTATTCATCATTACTTGAGCTTTCAGAATAGGCAGGCTTTTGCTGTAGACCAGTTTTTTTTTTTTTTTTTTTTCTTTCTTTTAGCAACATAAAATACCAAAGCTCATGGAGGGTGCCTAGTGCCACACTGTGACCTGCTATCCATCATTTCAATATGCCTCACACATGCTCTGTAGGATTCAGGTCTGGTGATCTAGTAGGCCATGGAAGATGTGCAATGGTTTCACTCTCAAATAACTCCGCATTCAAGCTGTATGTGGGCAAGCATTATCACCCATAAACATCATGTTAATATCCATTGTAGCAATAAAAGGGCACACAAGAGGGTGTAGAATTTCGTTGTGATATCGGATGACTGTGACGGAATCACACAGAGGTCAATGCTGCCATTTGTTGCTATCCGAGCTCATACATGTAAGCCTCCTCCGTAATGGTCTCTTTTGATGATGTTTGGTCCCCCGTTAGCATGTCCATGGCTCTCCCCATATTCTTGCCCTTCGGGAATCATTCTGGATGTTAAATTGAAACTCATCCATAAAGAGAACATGGTCTCACTACCCCTGGCATCCAAACACGATTTTCACCACGGGCTCAACTGTGCCCTGACATGCAATGTGGATGAAGGAACACAAACCATATAAAAGAAAAAGTAGTAATTTTGCCCTGATGGCTAACATATATACTATATTAGCCATCAGGCTAATATAGTTTATATCTTAGGCTAATATAGTTTATTTAGTTTTTGTTTATTCATTATATATATACAGTCAAAAGTCGTTAATTCGGACACCCATAATTCGGAATGATCTATAATCCGAACCTCAAAGCTAAAAACTTTCTGCGCATGCGCCGCGTTGACACATGCGCATAGGCGTTTACGCATGCACGTAAGACCTTTACAACTGCGCAAATGCATGTGAGCAAGTGCAGGATACATTTTCGCGTGCGCGTTTAATGTATAACGGACGGTATAAGCTAAAATTATCTATTTCAGTTAATGTTGATGATTGCGTTGTTCCTTAATCTTCGAATTGGATGCGGCTTATTATTTTTTGCAGACTGTAAGAGCAATGTTATAAAAGTAAACTTGAATTTTTCGATTATGTCAAATAGAATTTCCGATGCTGGAGCTCCCAAAGGATCTACAAAACGAAAGTATGTTTCGATGTCCATCAAACAAAAAGTGGAATTGCTGCAAAAGATGGATAAAGACATGAAGAAGGTGACAGAGAGGTTAGTGAAAATGAGAAAATTTCGATTGACAAGTTAGTCGGTATTCTCGGCACAGCAATTGCGGGACTTGAACAGCGGAACTTCGTAACTGAACAAGAAATTATGTCTGTTTATAGAATTAAAGAGAAAGTATTATCACATAAAACGAAGCAACTTAAATAACTTACATTGAAAGAAATGTTTAATAAAGTAAACAAATAAATATTAAGCTTTTTTTTTTTTTTTTTTTTTTTTTTTTGTAAATTTTGATACTCTTTAGATCATAATTGTTCTTTATTTCATAAATTACGGTTTCATGTTGTTTTTAATTTTAGAATTTCTGCATGCCATCTTACGAGATTTAAACTGATGATCTATAATCCAGAAAAATCGATAATCCGGAATCGCCGAAGTCCCGACGAGTCTGGATTAACGACTTTTGACTGTATATATTCAAGCTGCTAAAATTAATAAACGAAAACTGTTTAGAACTGCACAGCAGTGCTTTTTCTTTGCAGTTTAAGCTAGAAACTTTACTCTTAATTTGCATGAATGTTTTATGGCGAAAAAGATTTCAGTGCAGATACTTGAGATTAAGAATACTCTTGAGGAATAAAGTACTACTCTTACACAGCTGCTGCCTAAGCGCTCAAAGGAATATAATGTGATTGATGTCATATAGGACATTTTCTAAGAATAAAATTTAAATATTAAGAATAAATTGTTTTTACAGCAAATAGGTTATATTCGCATTTTCTAAACATTCTTTCACTGTGGTGGCTTGATAATGAAGTGGATTTTTATACATAAGCAGGAGTTCATCTTCTTTATTCCTGAATAACTCAATATATATTTGCAGAATGACATCGCAGTATATATAACTATCAGAGTTTTCCTGTTTCTGTGCGTGGAATGGTGAGTACAAGGAAAGCTAACATTATGCCGCCCTTGCTAGAATATCACTGCAACAAAAACTGTGTTGTTTAAGGCCATTTCTAGAGTGTAAAGTTCCAGATGCTTTCTGGAAGAATATATGTTAGAATTACTGTAGAAGCTAAATTTGTATTGTCAATAAACAAGACTGAGGCCTATTTGACCTATATCCAACAGTGATGATTTTTTGTACCAGGCTGTATAAGATCTTTCAATGGTCAGCAATTAGGAGGAAGTAACTTGTAGACTTGTGAGTATACAGATTGTGTTATCTCAATCATCTGTGCACATTAAGTCTAGAAACTGTGACTCTACTGTATTATAACTATCACTCTTAATGCTTACAGCATTCTGAAGCCACTTGGCTGTACCTTCCCTTGGGTTCCTTGGCTTATACTTTCTGGGCAGTTAGAGGCAAAAACTTATTTTGCTTTCGCTTGGTAAACTTCTACCATCTTGATTTTGCTTGGTAAACTTCCATCATCTATGTTCTAAAGCATTAAGGCAGATTTCTTATTGATTATTGCATAATATTAGAATTGCTTTCTGTCATTAAAAATGGAAATTTTGCAGCTCTTGGGGCATAAATATCTGGCTTTGGCAAGCCTTCAATTCACTGATTTTGCTTCGTATAATATTATACTTATTCATTTGTGAACTGTATTTCTTTATTGTTGAATACTGTAAAAATTCAAGTGTACATAATGCCCAAATATACTCTGTAGTTGATGTTCTACAGTTTTTTGCAGCCCACACTATATATCTGGTTGTAATGAAAGTTTTTCACCAAAAAAAAACATTCTTAATAAAGTTAGGGAAAAAAAAAAACATGAAAGCAGTACCTTTAGTGCGGGTAGTAATCACCACCCAAATCTATGATATTCTACCAACATTTTGGTAGTTTCTCAAAGGCCCAGAAACTTGGTGGCCGAAAGTTCAAAAACGTATCAACCTCATTTCAGGCATCCTGTGCAGAATGGAAGATGGCACTAACAAGATGTATCTGCAGTTATGAAAAAAGATAGAAGTCCAAACTAGCGATGTTAGGGCTGTATGGTGGGTGTGGCAACAAATCCTATTTGAGTCTGTACAGAGTCCAGCTAGTGAATGCAGACACATGTGGTCTTGCATTATCTTGTAGCGATCTCGAGAACAATTCAATGTTCACAAATTTGAAAAGAGTTGGAATTCGTGAACCTAGCGCAATGGAGCTCTTTTCGCTCGTGGTAAAGAATTGGACTCGTAATAAACCGACCCAGTTTTGGGTCCAGCTCATGCAATGCAGCACTTCTCACTGGTGTTAATAGATGACGACATGAGCAAGCAACTACTGAGGCTCCACTGAAACACGTGATTGCTACAATCTCAATGGAACTTTACCTTTTTGTGCAGGATCTCAATTCAACATTTTTTTTAATAGCAGCGTCAACATGGACTAGCATCTCACTTGACCACCTCACTGTCTAGGGTTTTACCTTTTTCCAGATATTCTTTGTGGATAATACTACAGCAATCCCACCAGATACAATGCATGATCTTTTTGTTAGTCAAATTGCAATTTGTGATGCTGCTGGGCTCACCGGATGCAGATCAAATCACTTTTAGGCCTATGTTGTTGAAGTAAACCCAGTTTTCATTGCTAGTGACAAACCAGCTCAGAATTTTGTCCTTACATTGATATTCAAGCAGATTAGTGCAGGTCCGAATACATCTGCTTGAGTCAGTGCATATGGTGTCCACTGATTGAATATGCACGTCAAGTTAATGTGATACATAGTGCGACTAATGGACATTTCTCTATTGCCAAGTCCTTAGGAAGCTCTCAAGTGGTTGTCAGTGTCAACATAGGCCACTTTTAGGCCTATGTTGTTGAAGTAAACCCGCTTTTCATCGCGAGTGACAAACCAGCTCAGAATTTTGTCCTTACATTGATATTCAAGCAGATTAGTGCAGGCCTGAACACATCTGCTTGAGTCAGCGCATATGGTGTCCACTGATTGAATATGCACGTCAAGTTTATGTGATACATAGTGCGACTAATGGACATGGCTCTATCGCCAAGTCCTTAGGAAGCTCTCAAGTGCTTGCATACTGAACTTCTTCCACAAGTTCTAGCAGGTGGTCCTCATCAACATCAGTAGGCCGGCCAGAGCACTCTGCTTCTTGAATGCCATAGTCCTTTTTGAACTTTCTTGTACCAAACTTTCACAAAAGACATATGCTATAACATTAGTATGTAAAACTGTACAGCTGTACACGTAATTTGGTGGCATTCTGTAGCTGACTTTTTGCAACAGAACTGGAAGTAAAAAAAGTAAAAAATGGTTCTAATGTGATGGCATAATAGTTCCATTTCAGACACCTTGTACTTAATGATAGCAATATTTTTTTACAAATTTCGTAACATAGTGATCTAAAGCATGTCTCTTTCCTTCAAGCACCAAAAATCGCTTGACAAAATATGTTTGCCAATGTGAACTGTTTGTATAGACGATTTGCAGTGGCTTGAAAACTTCCATTAAAACCCAATATTATATGCATATATTGTACAGACATCTGTAGTTTAATCACTTGTTTAAGGATTTTAATAGTGAGAAAATTGTAGCAAGCATAATATACAAAATTAATTAAGCATTGTTTGCTAATTTAAAAGTTTTTTTCATACTTGGTAGTGCAGTTACAAGTATTTTCAGAGTTTGAAGTCAAGAGCCTGGTTCCAGCAATTTTTGCATTGATTGGATCAGAAACTTGCTGCCATATATAAGTTAAACATATTAATAATACAAAAGAAAATAACATTTATTTAGCTGTTGCTCATAAGAACAATTTAACTTTTACTCTCCATAAATCAGAATTCTCTACAATTGTTTGTGGCATATGTGCTTAGAGCTATGGTGAAGAAGCTAGGAAATGCCAATCATAACCAGAAAAGCAATTAAAGAATGACTGAATTAGTCCCAAGAATTGAATCAAATAGCAGAACAGAAATCTATTGCAGATTTGATTAACAATAAAAAAATGTTTAACTTTACAAGATAGTAAAGTTTTTAGTACTCATTATAATTTCGAGTTTTTCAGTCAAATGCATAAATTATGAACACCCTGCTGTTCTAATGCTTCATTAATCTGTTAAGATAACTTGTGACCTTTGGATATATTGAAGTAGTGTGGAGTAGCTTCTTGTGACAAATCACCTTGTTCAGGGAATTATGTTGCTAATTAATTAATTACAATTTCTGAAGATTAAAAGTAGTTTAAACATGTTATTTCATATTGTTGGTATCATAGAAACATAATGATTGTAACTAATATTTGTGTTTTGCAAGAGTAACAGTGAGATCATTTTGATGTTAGACATGCTTATAGCTTATCTCCTCTTCACTACCACCATTATGTTACATTGCACTATTAGGGCATTTATCATCCATGTAGTTTGGCAATTATAACAATTCCATGGAGTATCAAATCTTTCATTTCTCATCTGTGTGACCTGGCAAATTTTCAGTTCATAGAGGTGTTTCCATTTGGTATTCCGTAAGGTCTTTGATTTATCTTTCAAATTAAAACTGTATGATATGTTACTAGCTGGGTAATGTGAAAACAATGTATAAATATATTTTAATAATTCATATCTTTGTTGTATTTTTAATAATGTCTGTGCAGACTACATAAAGTCTATTATAAATACAATTTATATTTTGTTTAAATACTATAATATTTTGTTTCTGATATGTAATTCCTGTAATACACTAATTCAAATTTTTCAAACTGCTTTGCAATTAGTTCTTTTTTTATTTTCTTCTAATTCAAATTTTTTATGTTAAAAAACTGCTGTACTCTACAGTACCAAAATTTTGTTATTTACCAAATATAACAAAATATTTGTACCAAATATTTTGTTTTGTTATTTATATATTTTAATAGTATGCAAACAAAGCTTCTGAGAAGTTGCTAGGTTATGAAGCAAAGGATCTAACAGGAAAAAATGCTCAGACGTTATGCAGAGCAGAATCTGTCAAAGCTGACATTGTTGAAAGCATTAACATGCAGGTAAAGAAAGGAAAAGTGAGTTCTTTTTATTGAAGTCATAGCTGATTTCCCTTCTTAAACTGTAATACAAAACCAAAGTCCTCATTTACATACTTAACAGTATTTATAACTTTGACTTTTATGTAATAAACGGAATATACATTTCCTAATTTAATACCCTTTTAACTTAATACCTGGTTATTAATTGTGACCACATGTTAAAAATAATTAAATTGGTAATTTAAAGTCATAGCACTTCCAGCTAAATCAGATTCTGTTACCACTTTGATTTTGTTTTCAAAGTGGGACAACCTGAGTTTTTATTCAATAATATTGTAAAGAAAAGCTTATGAAAGTATTTCTAAATTAAAAGGCAGTAAAAGACTAAATAAAAGCCATAATAATAATAGCTGTAAACATTTTATTAATTTATTCTATTAAAGTACTTGTAAAATGCAAAAATGCATTGCCAAATGTTAAAAAAAAAAAAAAAAAAAAAAAAAAAAAAAAAAAAAGCACCAGGATTAACTGAAAATGAAAAATGCACAAATGTTTTACAAATAAGTTATTTAATGAAGAGGATGATTAAATTCATCCTGAACATTTAAAATATTACCAGGAAGAACTATTTCAGTTATGCTCAAAATATGCTCAGTTCTTTAAGCATGATAAAAAAAAAAAAAAAAACATGAATAAGAATGACTGTAATAAGAAGGATTTAAATAGTGCATATAGCTACTATATTTGGCAACATTTGTTGTATTTGGTGAAATAATAGTATGTTGGTTAATGGAAAAGGATGAAACTCAAAGCGAGTCAGGTGCATATTATATTAACTAATTCAAAATTTGTATGCTGTTAAAAAATTTGGTATTTTCAATTAACAGAATGTGACTGGAACCAAATGCATAACACTGTTGCAAAATCTTAACTACAAATATGAATAGCAACTCTAAACTTATAGACAGCTTCATGAAAGAATGACTGCTTTATTATATTTTTAAAATACAGCATGTTTCAAAAAGAATATACGTATTTTGAATGCATATATTTATTAAACTGTATGACATATGAATATTAAACGTTACACACATATCTACGAACCTCTCAAATTCAGAATACAGATGTTCAATCTGTCCTCCATTAGTGACACGAACAATATCACATTGATACTCAAATTCTTCCCATACACAGGCAAGCATGTCCGTCATAACTGATGTTATGACAGCACGACTCAGGTTCTTCACCTTTTCCAAGTTCTGTGGGAGTGGTGGTACATAAACGTTGTCTCTAATGATACCCCACAGGAAGAAGTCACAGGGTGTCAAATCCGGTGACCATGGAGGCCAGCTGAGACGTGCTAAGTCGCCAGCTCCTTGATGACTAATACAACGGTTTGGTAGAGTTTCATTCAGATAATCGCGCACTTGGCGATACCAGTGATGGGGGGGGGGTGGCCCGTCTTGTTGAAAAATCAAGTTGTCTTCATGCAGCCTCGGAAACAACCAGTTTTGTAACATAGCAAGATCCTGCTGACCGTTAACCATGTTTCCATCAATAAAGAATGGGCCGTAAACAGATGATTGGGATATCGCACAAAACACATTGATTTTGGGTGAATCTCGTACATGTTCAGTGGCTGCATATGGATTCTGTAGGCCCCAAATTCAAACATTGTATTTGTTTACATGACCACTAACATGGAAAGTCGCTTCATCACTGAACATGATGCATTGTGCGAAAGTATTATCATTGACAATAGCATCAATAATCTCATTACAAAATGCCACATGTTTGCGTTTGTCATCAGGACGCAGAGCCTGTAACAAATGTAATTTATACGGCTTCATAACCAACCGATGTCTCAAAACACACCAAATTGTTGTTGTAGGCAGTTGTAACTCTTGACTGGCACAATGAATTGATTTTGAAGGACTGCGTTGGAAAGCAGTTTGAATTCATGCAACATTTTCATTGGGAACACGAGGGTGGCCAGGACTCTTTCCTTTACATACACATCCTGTATTTCCAAACTGTCAGTACCATCTGCGAATGTTCCCATTTGGAGGATCACTTTGGTACCTCAACTTGAAATGTTTTGCACTGTAATCACAGAATTGCACTAGGAAACTCAAGAAAACAAAATTATTTCTTATGTGGAGTAGCCATTTTAAACATGTTGTAAGGATTATGTTAATTTTATTAATAGTTAAATTTTAAGTTGGGTTTTTTTTAAGTTAAATTTTAAGTTCCTTTCCTGTCAAATTCTTAACTTCAACTTACTACTTCCGGCCAGAACATAGTTTTGGAATCTTGCTGAATATTTAATGAGGAGGAGCGGTATTTAAAGCACAAAGTTACTTACCGAGTCAGAGAGAATCGGAGTTTCTGATTAACGCGCGTCTGCCTTTTTGGTCACTCTCTCTCAAAGCTGTTATTATGCTCGGCCGTACTCAGGCCCTTGCTAAGCTTCATAGTCAAATAAGTTAAGGGGCCAACTCGTTTTGAACCTTGATAGCTTCGGCTATACTTCTTTAGTTAATCTTAGTTTTAGTTTCATTCCTTAGTCTTTTAAGTTCAAGTCCAAGTGCGGGCTTTGCTTGTACACTCCCAGGCGGAGTTTTGTTAAATCTTGTTGGAAAAATAAAGGGTTAGTTACCCTTCTATCTTGTTGTTTCTTGTCTCCGAACTCAAGCAATTATTCACTTATCAGTTCTTAGATTCTTCACTTCCAACATTAACTTAGAATTCCAAAGTGAGGAACTCTACAATGTGATGTAATACAAAACAGAAGACAATTGGCATTTAGCGGCTATAATTATAAACTAGAATATGTATTTGTTTTGCCAATAGCCGAGCCGAGGCGCAGTGATTGATAGTTTGGACAAAATAACACTTTATAATACGTATATTCTTTTTCAAGCAACTCTAAGTATAAGTAGTCATAAATAAGAATGTATGTAATTATTCAATGGAAAGTTATAGAATGCTTCATTCCTAATTGCACTTGACAGTTTGCCATTGTGGGCTTTTGACACCGGATCTAAATAAACTGAAAAGCTGTCAGAAAAGAATCATGTCAGAAAAGAATCTTCAAAACTGCTTCCACTCTGTGTTTCTTATGCAGCATGATATTTTATTGCAGCAATATTTTGGTGCTTCTGTAATAGTAGAACATAGTTTGATTTTATGGTTTTTTGAGAAAATACTTTCAGTGAAAATGTTACCTTTATTTTGGAAGAATTTAATCATACCTCTTCTTCATTAGTTGCCAAATTGTGTAATCTATGTTGATTCTTTCTTTAAGAAAAAATAATAATAAAATAATTTTGACAAGAAAAGCAACTAAAAGTCTCAGAAGAAAAACTATTGGACTGATGTTCATTCCTCTTATTTATTTCATACCCTTTGTAAGAAATATACCAGTTGAGTGGGTTGGACATATGACCCTTTCATCTCAGGAAGTAGTAGTAGGAATGATGAAAATGTGATGTTATAACATAGAAACCTGTGGTGTTTATGTTAAAAAACTGGATTTAATGGGAAATTCATACATAATAAAAATTCTGGATTAATGGGAAATTCATACATAATAAATTCTTTGCTATTTCTCATAATATCTTTTTTATTGTATATTTATTGTATATTTATTGTTTATTTATTTTTTATGTAACTTTATTCATGTGCAATTTTTGTCTGTGTATAAATATAGTGAGAACACTAAATAAGGAATTTATAGATTAATTTTGTGTATAACTAAGGAAAAAAATTGATATAATGAATATTTCATTTAATTTTGTTAACTTAGCTTATATTTTCTTTTCATTTTATGAAATATTCTGTTCTGCACATGAAGATATTTAGCATTTTAGTAATACTTAGTAATCAAAATACTTTATACTTTTTGATTGTTTTCAATTGTTATATCATGAAAGTTGAAAGTTTGAATGTTACTGACAGTCTTACTAATCGGGGGGGGGGGAGAAATGTCAGCATTTGTTTAGAATTGTTTCAAATGAAAAGTCTTTGTATATTTCAAGTCAAGATAATTTTCTCTCATAAAAAGAAATCTTTCAAAATTCACTGAATCAAAACTTCATCTAAAGTCATCGCTGAGAAAAATGTTCAGTTCTGCCAATCATTTGATATTTACATTTGTATATTTGCAAACTATTTTCTTGGTAAATAAATTGACATAATTTTTAACACTAGATAAATATCAGTGTTTACTAAAACAATTTTTAATGCAATTAATAAATCAGTTATCTCAAGTACACATATCATGAATGCAGAACCTTTACCTTCAAGCCATCAATTTTAGCTACAAAAAAAGTAGTTAGAAAAGATTAATTAATTGATTTATAGTGAACAAAAACTAAATTCGAAGACATGATCAGGCAATAGAATTTACTTATGTACATCTGAAGTAACTAAAAATATATTACATTGGAAAAAGCTTAATAAGATTTATTAGATTTTTAAATAAAATTCAGTTTGTTAATCTGCTCCAAACTTGAAATTTTGCAATGACTCATATTAACAAGCAATGATTCATATTAACATTGTTGCATACTGCATTCTAATCTCTAATCTATCTGTGTATTAATAATATACAGGTATTTAGAGATAATTTTCTTTATATAAAATAAATTCCTCGGCTTTTCTTATTCCCTGTATATATTTATCTTCTTGAACTGTAAACCTGAATTATGAACCTTGAACTATGTATTTTGCATTATTTTTATGTATTGTTCCACTGTTTTGCCTTTTTTTTTTATTTATGCATTGTTTTTACTTTCTAGTTATTTTTACTTCTTATTACTTTAGTATTTGTAACCACCTATCCATTACTCTGTAAACATATGTAACTGAAATTGTTCTTCACACCCGCAATGCACCCTTCTTCCATCATGCACTATCATCTTCGTCCAGCATTTGTTTGCACTGCCCCCAGCAGTCGTCTTGAGCACAATATGTATTTATAAGTGTGTCTTTTGTTCAACTTATTTCCGTCAGCGGGGCTACCTGGCCGATAT